AGCTTTGTTGTTTACATCCTGATGATTGTCTTCTGGTTCTGATTTTCCTATCTACAAGAGAAAAGGATGAATGCATAAGCATTAAAAATGAAAACATCTCAGCCCAGAGTTAACAATCTTAACATACTTAACTGTATTTCTCACATCACATAATAAACCCCAGGACTTGACAATATTTGCAAGCAACTTTCTGGTCCTAGTGATCATCTCCTTGAGAGTCAAGGAAGGGGTAGTAGAAAGAATAATGGAGAGACAGAAGAGCAAAACAAAGCTCATGCCAAGCCACAGAAAAGACAAGACTGAAAGAAAAAAAAAGGTTTAAAGGAGACAAGGCCATAAAAGAAACCATTTCCTAATCAGTTTGATTAGCAAAACTACTTACTCCAGTTTAAGTAAAAGCCTGAAGGAGAAAAATATTTACCTCTATTGATTCAGCCTGCACCGGAGACGGCTTGGTCGTGGAGCTCTTATCAACAACACTACTCACAAAACCTGGAGGAACAAGTGGTCTGGATGGAGGTGCATGCGAGGAAACTGAAAGCTTGCTGGAGTCTTCTCGTGGAGTTGGTTTCGATACTTTATCCAAGTCAGGGGACATCTTATCATCACTGGGATTTTCCAGCAATGCCATCTCTGAAAAGGCATCCCCTGTCTTGCCTTGACTCGATTTCTGTTTCTCTTGAAGAGCCTTTTGCTGCTCCTTCCTCATGAGTTCAAACTCAGCTGAAAAAGGTAATTAACTGTTAAAGTTGAGTTTAATGGTGAAGAAAACTTGAACCAAACCAATTACATTGAAACATCGAATAAATGAAGGTACCTCTTCGCTTTTTCTCCTCTTCAACCCTATCTTCACTGGTATCATCAGCTGAACCAAATGTTTCATCATTGAAAGAGTCATTAGCTTCCCTTCGAGAGTGAGGTACTGCCTGGAGGGTAGGGGAAAAAAAAATTGGTGAACCTAATATATATAATAGCTTTAGCACACAGTTGCAAGAAGATAGAACCAAAATGACAAAAAAAAAAAATGTATATTCAAGATCTAATACTGAACCAATAAAATAAGCAGATTAAGCACACACATACATCAGTTCTTGTTAAAATCATAGAAACGGAAGAAAAGAGTACAAAGACAAAAACAGCAATTCTAAGTAATAATCCATATACAATGACGCATTGCATACCTTATATGGACGAGGAGGATGGTATGGTTCATTGCTCCTGTTAAGATGGGTGTTCTCATTAGGAGGACGAAACCTTGGAACTGGTGCACCTGCTGCATATCCAGCAGGTCTTGGAAAAGAGCCACTTCCAAGAAGACCATCATGTTCAGGGGGGCTCTGCCATGACCTCCTTGCCTGGCTTCCATAACGCCTTCCAGACTCTATGTAGCAGATGGCTTGTCAAATATTATTACAGAAGAGAATACTGATGAATAATCAGTATTTAGCCTAACTCATCAAAACTACTTCGACAAACTCCTAATTCAGAAACGCCCATATAATCCTACATTTCTACTTATGTAACAGTACCATTTTATCTAAAACAAACCTTAGTTAATAATCAGAACGGATTAAATTCCTTCAACAATATAAAATCCACATAACTCAAATTTCTCAACTCCTCAAAACATCAAAGTAAAATTTTAAACATGGAAAATGACAGTAACATGTAATTGCAGCAGTAAAAAATTAACTCAGATTTTCAATTCTATTTAAAGAGACAATAAAAGCAGTAGCATACTAGCATAGTTCTATGGCTAAGACAATTCATCATCATACAAGGTTTACTTTTCAACTCCTCATCAATTTAGCCCCCATTGTATGGGGAGCCTAAGATCACACAGGTTTTCAGTTTCCTATAACAAACAACTTCCCCCACCCCCATCGGGCGGTTCTGAGAAGGTTGCAGGGAAATTAATCATCCATGACATATTTTATCATCAACCTATTGGCCATTGTCCTCTACAACTAATAAGGCAACTATATCCCAATTTGTTGGCACAAGATCTGCATAAGACTAGGTTAAGGGTGTTCTCTTAAAAATTAAAATACTCCTCTATATCTCGAAGGAGAGGTCATTGAAAATCAGTTTACTAACACAAAAGATATGCTTAATAGAAAGGCGTTGTCCTCCTAACATTACACAAGAGCAAGTAGTGAAAAAAAAACAAAAAAAACAAAAAAAAAAAAAAACAAAAACTTTAATGAATCAGGAAATGCGTGAACAAATAAAACAAACACCGAACTAATCAGCACAAATAAAAAGTAAACTTAAGAAAATGATAGCGACGAATGATTCTGAAGAAAATACCTGAATCCGAATCAGTATCACTTCGTACACTTGAACGACTATCCCACCTGTTCGATCCTCTAGAAAAATTACCCGAATCCCCTTTAGCTGGCATGGATGATCCATATTCAGTTCTCTTATAACCGTGCAGTAATGAACTTCCGAGGACACGTTGACGATCATGGGTAGATGCATCATCAAAATCACTGATCAATCACCATGCCCATATTAGTAAGCCACAATGGTGAAACACTAATCAAAAGAGGAAAGCTTGCAAGTTTTACAAAGCATAATACCTCAGAAGTGATTCATCAAAACCCTTAGGTAACTTTTGACAAACTTCCAGCTCACTCAATGACAAAAGGAACTCTCTTGTATATGACCTGCTCGGTTTCCTGTGGTAGTGAAACAAATGCATCACCAGATTAACTTCAACAAAAGACAGAAATTCACTATAACAAGTCAATAAACAATAACAAAGGTGATCAAGTACTTTGAGGATGTTGCAGTTGAATCCTCCGACTGGACCGCCGAGAGTTGTTCCTCAACTCCAGAACTTGCGTCAGACATGGTAGGCAAATATAAGAATACACTTCCACAACGATCTCAACCAATTGCACCACTCTCCACACTAAAATTGATCGGGTAGTATATGAACTCGAGACGTAACCCCACCAAAATCGAAAGCAAAATATCCTCCCCTTGTTCAGCAAAGTACAAGCAGAAACCAGTTTTCCAACTTCCAATTTCTACTCAAAGCCTCTCACCATCCAATAACCCATCATCATCCGCTTCAAAACCCTTGCTTCTCTCCAGAAATCAAAATCCCATTTTGTAAAAAACAATCAATTATATTTCCAATCCACAAACCCTAAAGAGTTCAAATTAAGCTCATCCCACTTCTTGATCTAGTCAAATTAATCAATCTACAATCAAAACTACAATTACTTCAGAATAGATTCTTAAAACAAAATTACAAACCACAATCTCCTTAATTTTAGCTCAACATAAACATATATTTACAGCAGCACTCATCATCTTCAAACCAAACTCAACTTCTAAATCAGGAAATCCTAACCTTAAAACCACGTTGAATTCCAATAATAGCAACCCCGGATAAACATTTCGAAAATGATGAACTACTCAAACTCAAGATTCAATCTTTTTTATTTTATTTTTTGGATTTTTTTCTCCTCTTTCCCCAATAGAAATCACAGTGTTTTCCTAAAACAAATTAGGGTTTTTTTGCATCATGTTGTGAAATTTCTGGGTTTACTATTACAATTACAAGATTACAAAAGGGGAAAAATCACCTGATATAGGATTCGAAGGAGAGAGAATTTCAATCAAACGTGAAATTTGATGGGTATTTATCTTCCTCGTTTTCTTACCTCTGTGTTAAATTGGATCGTTTTTGAGGAGAGAGACAGTGGAGAGAGAGAGAGGGGTAGAAGGGTAGAAGGGGGGAGGAAAAGATATTGATAATTCAATGATGTTTAATTCACTCGCTTTTAACTTCACGTGAAAGTCACGCTCTTGAGTGTTTCAATGAAAATGACTTATCATTTGCCAGTCTCTAATTCTCTATTGGACTAGTCTTTTGATTGGTTGTGATTAGCAAATCCTTTTAAGTTTTCTTGCATTAATACAAATCCTAAACTTTTGTACTATTCATGTGGGCATGTGAGGTAATGACTAATGAGATTTGAGGGAGGACAACGCATTTAAGATTGCGTTTTGCAGTTATTTTTGCATTTTGCGCTGAATTTTTGTTACATGTAAAGTATATCAACTCATCAAGCTCTAAATTTCGAAATCATTTATATTTGCGTTTCCTTAATACCGATTTCCTTTTGTTTCAGTAAAATGTAGCTATATTATTTGCGGATGGTGTAATCTAATATTTTGTTTCAAAACACGAACTGCCATCACAAGATTAAACTCATTGAACCGAGGAATTAAGTGTAAATTACTTCAAACAAATTTCCTCGCCTAAATAGAATTAGTACTTAGTGAGCAGTGTTTAGCAATTTTAACTTTGTGTTTGTTATTATTGTGTGCAAACTTCTTTCATTTTATTTAGTTAAATTTGAAGTAAAGATAATGTGAGAAAAAAGTAATTTTTGAAAAATAGAATTAACTTACACTTGTAGATCATTGAAGTTGGATAAAAGAAGTTAAGCAATCCTCCTCGCACATTTTACAATACTTTCTAATTCTAAAATAAATGTGTCACAATCCAATCAAAATTTATTTGTCTAAAAACATTTTGTTCGAATCTATCTTTACCTTATCTGGTATAATTGGATATTTGTTGTTCAAACCATGTCAATTGTCCCATAGTTGACCATTTGTTTCAAGGATGACATGAATGGATAGGCAAGATCTTACAATGATGGTCTTATGGGCCTAGCCAATAAAGAGGGAGTTTGAGAAGCAAAAGTTGAAAGCTTTTGGAGCAATCAACGACTTTGCTCTTGGTTTGAATAATTTTTCTAGAAATTTTGCTGCTATCAAAGAAGTCACGCCAGATACCAAGTTGAAAATGCATTCGCAGTAAAGCCACACTCAAGAGTTGCAGCACAGGAGCTTATGAATTGCTGCTTTATAAAGTCAGTAAAAACTTCATTTCATGGTTTAGTTGATACTTCATCATTCAATATCAAGAAATCTTTATTTGTTTACCAAATTTTCTATCAAATCAGAATGCGTGTTTGGGAAACTGACAAAACTTTATTATAACATCAACAGTCAAACCAGTTCGGGACCTTCTCCTATAAACATAACATTCTCAGATTCAATATGTACAAAACGATTCTCATTCACAGCTATGTCGAGAAGTTAACATGCCCAATAGCAGCAGCAGCACTCTCTGACTAGTACGTATTACAAAAGCCTCAGTAGAGGATCTCAGGACACTATACAGACACTTTCAAACCTCGTAAGAAAGACTTTATATTACAAACCTAGACTAATGTCTCAAGCAACCTACTTGTTGGCTGCAGTGGAACTCCAGTACAAAACCCAGGCACAGCAAGACATGAGCAGCGAGGAGGTACACCACTTTGTTCCCTCCCAAGATTCGACTCTGCTAACCAAACTCGCAGAGAACATGCACATTACACAAAGACAACTACATGGAACATCCGGTTGTTTAGAATCATCCAAACTTGTGTACTGCTAACTTCCACTGGAAATATCATATACGCGGTCATATAATAAAGAGGAAATGAAAAAGAGAGTAAATAAATCTGATATCGACTGATACCTTCTTGATTAGTAAACAGCAGGAATTACGGTCTTGGAGTTATCTTGAGCTGGCAAGAGATGACTACATGACCTAGTTTTACCAGACTCTGCATCATATGATGAAAATAACTTCCGCTGCCACAATGGAAAACACAACATCACACTAAATCAAGCAAGCAAAAAAAAAAAAAAAAAAAAAAAACACAGCTAAAATTTAAGAAAATTAACTAATGTCCAAAAACAAAGTGCACTTACATATTCCTCAAATTCAGGGCTAAGCAAATTGACTGAAAGATTTCTCATCCAACAGCAATACCTGGTAAGATATCAAAAGGAACATCATTAGATATTTGAAAATAGTGTTGTTCATACAGAGAATATGCTGAAACTATCATGTCAATCAATCACATACATATCAGATGCTTCAAGATCAAGCAGCAAGAATAGAACTCAAAGAATTCAAACCACTCGGGGACATTATAATTACTCAGTAGTATATATTCCTATTTTCCCAAATAATAAGAGAAAAGGAAACATACTGTTTCAACATTAATTGGGTCCATTGTCTTTAACCTCTGCAGGTGATCACGAGCATTGGGATCAAAGACACTTCCAATAAAACTGTAAACCTGAGCAAAGTCTGGTACAACTGCTTCAAGTGGAACAGAAATTAATGTTAGTATATATTCTGGCCAATGCATAATTTATAGAGTAGGCACTCTAGGCAGATAGAATCCTAGCCTTCTATGTAAATATCATGGTTTACCATACTCGGGGTATTATTGAAAAACAAAAGCAATCACACAGAGAATATCAGGAGCATGTTAACGAAACATATCACACGTATAATCTCAGGATCTTTATGTCAATATATATTGTTCTTACTACCACTTATTCAATCCGCCCCTTTTGCTCTTTTTCTCCACATACTATATTACTGCACAATATATAAAATTCTAACTACTATTCAATCCTCCCCTTTCTTGCTATTCCTTTTGTTTTTTTAGATGTTTTTTCCACCCAGATCATGGGACTATGAAAGAAGGTAAACATTACATTAAACCAATGAGAAAATTAACACAAAAAAAGGAAGCTGGTAAATAGATATTTTATTCTATTTGTAATAATTAATGAGCAAATTAAAGACTGAATCAAAGGAGACACAATCTCTGGTGAAGGAAAGGCTTCCAAAAGAATCAATCTGACCCGGGAAAATAAGTAATATTCATAAGACAGCTAGACAGAGATGCAACTAAATGTATGTCAACTGAAATGTCAATGTACCCTGAATAAATTAAAACACTATAACTAATGTCAAGTAATAGGAACAAAAGGCAAAAAGAAAGGTAACAGTTTAATTGCTATGGATAATAATCAATATTTAATGAAGAGTAAGGAGCTAAGGATAACAATTGAAGCTTTAGATACTACCAACTATTTGAAAATAAACTGGATTTTCTAAGATGATGTATATACAACTGTGCAAGGACTTAAAGGTGAAAAGAAGTAGCTAGCACAAGAAACAATACCTTTGATACGCTTTGCCTGAGTTGTCTGATCCGTAGCTCCAGCTGTTGGCCAAGTACTTCTGCTCTCATTGCTGCTGCTGCAGCAACCCGTGGGAGTCATTGAGGGCATTGCTAATGTTGCATCATCTGCATGAAAGACATGCCAGATTAGTTTCATTTCTGGTTTCTTTCAGGTAATTTTTCCAACAAATTATTAACTTTTCATCATTCTTAACACAGGCCAGCTTTTCATGACACACAATACACCACTGTCCTCAATTCTTGCTAAATTATGCCCACTTCTTGATAAATTCCAGTCACAACCTTTTTGTGTTGCTTAATACATGTGTTCTTAGATAGCAAACTGAAGTTGTGCAGTTCCTATAATTATTTTCCGTATTTTACCCTCATTTTCATCTCCCCCCACCACTCCCCAAACAAAATTACAACTATGAACCAGCTAGAAGAAAACTCCAGACGCGTTGATCTATAATATTCTGCTTTGTTAATCTCTACCTTCTTGAAGAACCTCTCTTATACAAGAAGTTCACTCTATATAGAATCAATGAGTTATACTTTCAAAGATCAGTAGCATCCAAAGATGGTACAGATCCATATAAAACACATTTCACAGTTAAGAGAAATAAATAACAGTCAAAATCCATGAAAGTAAGAAATGGGTTTCAAGAAAATAATTATTCAAAATGCCAAAATGTAGAATATAGATACAAGATAAAAGATTAGTCCTTTTGTGGGGATTTGTTTTAAGAAATCTACCTCTTCTCAAGTTTGCTGTATTGACAACTGGCACAGACCCAAAAGTCCAGGACGATGCTGGAGCACTGCCACTTTGATTGGCGAGGACTGATGATGGGTCATGGTGGTAAACATACCCTGGTTCCAAAACACCAACAGTAGAATTCTGATACTGTCCCATAGATTGATTAATCGCTGGAGCTGCAAACAAACATTCAGGTGTGTAAGAATTACTAATTCTCAGAAAAGGTCACCAGTGAAGCAGACACGGCACATGGGAATCTAGCATTCTAACCAGTCTTAGAAGCCTTTTGCGGGTATGGATGGGCTGCTTTCCTCTTTGGTCGCGGAGGCGGCACACGTTCATTAGACCCACTCTTCTGAACCTTTAGAAAGTACTTCTGAGCATGACTACGAATCTGCAAGAATCATTCATGACCCACCAGCATACATCAGCAAAAGAGAGCCAAGAATAAGCACATTAGCTAGAGTAATACTGGCTCACCAACATCATAGACAATTCAATCCAAGCTACTCCAATGAGCAGCAATGTTATGGCTTGTCAACTCCAAAATCTAACAAGTTATTACTTAATATCAGAGTCATAAACAATGAAGAAATGAAGTCCATGAGTAGGACGTTCCCAATTTGCATCGCAATGAAAAAACATAATAATGGACCATCAATAGTCCACAATAGCCAAATCATCAAGCATGAGGGCTAATGGGTGTAAGAGGATGTAAATTTCGGACCATGAATTACCAGATAATGAAACTATAGAACAAAATACAAACAACTGCCAATCTCCAGATGCCCTTTTAATCCCAAGTGCTTTAAAAAGAACAAAACAAATTAAAACTACCACCGTATAGAGCACACTGCACATGGTCATGGCAACATATAAAAAAAAACCAAGAGCTAAACTGGCCATAAACTGCGTACAACACAAATGTACAGAATTTAGATGTCAAACAACACAAGGTATATGATTCCGACAGCCTCCATTTATGGAATATCTGGAAAGCAGAAGATCTCCAATATTTACCTGAATAACTGTCTTGGAACCAATAAAAGCTTCAATTTTCTTCCAATCACGATCAAATCTGTGGCATAAATTGGGAGAAAAAGAAGTATTAATAAATTAGGACACGCTTCAAACCTATCAAAAACACCATCTAGCTTACAAATGAATTGCAGAAGGGAAAAAAAAAAAATAACACCTACCACACCCACATTAATATGACAAACCACAACTTTTAACCACAATTTTGCAATTTGCTTAAAGTTACTGTGTCCAAACTCTTACTGCGAACATCCCTATACTAACAAATTCTCTCCTATAGTCGTATCCATCAAGGACCCTCTATGAAATATTATCCTTTCATTCTAATAACCCTTTAACAATGGCAAAGTTCACCAGTATCCACATTTATATCCATATTCAACCACCTCTAATTTATCAAGGGATTCATGTTGTAATAACTACACCCGTTAAGTTAACATAACTATCTACATAATTATCAAGTAGCTCTTCACAACACTATTGAATCACCAGCTTTTCAACATACAAACCACATATCTCAACCTCTCAAATATTATAAATGTATTAGTAATAAATCATGTTATAACTGTCCAAACTTCATTTTTCTTTTCTTTACTGCCAACACACTTTCTCTATTCACATTTAGATGACTTAATTAACTCTTTACAATATTCACATAAACTCCTTTCTTTAACTTACTCTTTACACTATTCACAACATAAAGGAACGCCAATTCGGGAAATGGGAACAAATTTTAGGAACGGAGGGAGTATATAGATAACCTTTTCTTAAAAAAAAAAATAATCAGAAAAAAAAAGAACCAAAAGAAACTGAGAATAAAGAAAAAAAAAAACAACTCTCACCACTCACGCACAAAAGAAACAAGACCAACAACATCATCTCATCTCTCAAGCACACCTCTGACAACTCTTCCGACTTCATGCAATAACGTTGCAGGTCGCTCCTTATCAGTTTAATTAATTGTTCGTGTATACTTTCTAAATTTGGGTTTTTTCTGCTTGATTTTATGTTCAATTGTCCTTGTTCTTCTTTAATTATGTGTGTATACTTTCTAAATTTGGTTTTTTCTGCTTGATTGTCATTGTTCTTGTTTAATTTTGTTTAAGTTTCACAAGTCTAAGGAACTGCATGCTTCAAGTCTATGAATAAACTACCATCCTTAGGAGTTTATGATTGAATAAATGTTATTTAGGTGACATAAACCCTTTTCATAAATTTTTGAGAAAGGGGCTAAAAAGAGCTTTAGATAGGGTATGCGATGATTGAGCTAGGTGATTGTGAACGTCTAAACCCTCTTTCCAGGAAAACGGCGATTTGTCATGCAACTATTTTAGATGATCTTGATAGATGAATATTCATCGAGGAGTTTTGAAGGGGTTGGTTTGTGTTCAATATTGTGATAGGACTTTAAATGATTAAATTTGTTCCTATTAACGTCTATAGCTCGTCATTTACGAATTTTCAAAGCATTGATAAGGTTATATTAAATAAATTTAACTCTTCTGAATTTAACGCTTTTTTTAAAAAAAAATAAAATAAAATAATAATAATAATAAAATAGACGGATCGATCGAAGGGAGACCATGTTAGAGATAGTAGGCATGTTATTAATATGTACAAGGAAACATACTTGAAGTCACGCTTATCTGACGGCGTGAAAAAAGCTTAAGTCCGTGAATCTAAATTGTGATGATACTGGTTTTTGGGCGCACTACTGCCTTGTTGCTCAAATCTGAAGACAAGGTTAGAATTGTTGATTACAGAACCTGCTATTATTTGCGGGGAAATCCCTCCCTCGGCAGCTTGCCTACTACATCCTATCTAGGATGAATGTCGATGACATGTCTATCCGCAATCATTGCGGAGAAAAAGTTTTAATTGACAAAGTAAAGGTCACTTGGGAGTTGGGCATCCAGCAAGGGAAAAAATATGCCTCAGCAAACTGCGAGGATATGAGCAGTTGTATGCTAAATTTGAAACGATGAGGGGTAAGAAAGATGAAACTCCAGGTGTCTTTAATGAAACATTGAAGCATGCTTAGTTGAATTCTGATTCCGAAGCAAAATTTAGAGAAGCTTTTCTTTTGTATTCAATTTGTACAGTGCTCTGCCCGTCAACCTATGACACGGTACGGTACAGAGCAAGTACTTGCCGTTGGTTTCATTGGCACAGAACGCCAAAAACAGTAAGTACTTGCATAGGTTGACGGGAAGAGCACGGTAGAAATCAAATACAAAAGAAAAGCTTCTCTAAATTCAGTTTCAAAATCAGAATTCAACAAAGCATGCTTCAATGTTTCCTTAAAGAAACCTGGAGTTTCGTCTTTCTTACCCCTCGTCGTTTTAAATTTAGCATACAACTATTCATATCTCGCAGTTTACTTAGGCATACTTTTTCCCTTGCTGAGATGCCCAACAAACACCCGCCTGACCTTTACTTTGTCAATTAAAACTTTTTCTCCACGATGGTTGCGGATAGACATGTCATCGACATCCATCCTAGATAGGATGTAATAGGCAAGCTGCCGAAGGAGGGATTTCCCTGCAAATAATAGTAGGTTATCAAATCCCATGTCCTCAACAATTCTAACCTTGTCTTTGGATTTGAGCAACAAGGCAACAGTGCGCCCAAAACCAGAAACATCACAATTTAGATTCACGGACTTCAGCTTTTTTCACGCCGGCGTGACTTCAAGTTATTTCCTTGTACATATTAATAACATGCCTACTATCTCTAACATGGTCTCCCTTCGATCGATCCGTCTATTTTTTTTTTCTTGTAAAAAAAAGCGGTTAGATTCAGAATAGTTAAATTTATTTAGTATAACCTTATCAATGCTTCGACCAAATTCGTAAATGACTATCAAAACTCCTTCAAAACTCCTCGATGAATCATTCATCTATCAAGATCATCTAAAATGGTTGCATGACAAATCGCCATTTTCCTGAAAAAAGGGTTTAGAGGTTCATAATCACCTAGCTCAATTGTCGCATACCCTATCTAAAGCTCTTTTTAGCCCCTTTCTCAAAAAAATTATAAAAAGGGTTTATATCACCTAAATAACATTATATTGCAAATAATCTATATTTCAATCATAAACTCCTAAGAATGGTAGTTTATTCATAGACTTGAAGCATGCAATTCCTAAGAACAAATTTAGAAATTTAAACAAGAACAATGACAATCAAACATTAAATCAAGCAGAAAAAAAACCAAATTTAGAAAGTATACACACATAATTACAGAAATTTAAAGAAGAACAAGGACAATCGAACATAAAATCAAGCAGAAAAAACCCAAATTTAGAAAGTATACACGCATAATTAATAAAACTGAAACCTAAAACATCAACAGTGAGGGTCAAAAGTCAAAATTAATACCTGATTTCGTGCTCAATTTAGTCGGTGGGCGGCCCGAGAGTCGAAATTAAGAGATGCCGGAGATGAGGAGCAACCTGCGGCGTTACTGCATGAAGTCTTCAAAGTTGTCGGAGGTGTGCTTGAGAGATGAGATGATGTTGTTGGTCTTGTTTCTTTTGTGCGTGAATGGTGAGAGTTGTTTTTTTTTTTTTGTCCTTTTTTCCCAATTTCTTTTGGTTCTTTTTTTTTCTTTTTTTTATCTATGTACTCCCTCCGTTCCTAAAAGTTTATCTATGTACTCCCTCCGTTCCTAAAAGTTGTTCGCATTTCCCGAATTGGCGTTCCTTTATGTTGTGTAAAGAGTTAATTAAGTCATGTTACAGTGAGTGAGTTAATGTTGGAGGGAGTGGTAGCCTGGGATGCAGCAAAGGTTCGAGGCTTGGTGGATCCAAAGACCGCAGCTATAATTCTTTCTATCCCATTATCCCTTCATACAAGAGCTGACTGTATGTACTGAAACTAAACAAAAAATGATCTTTACTCGGTCACGTCTGCATACTGGCTAGCAAGGAGTGTTGGCGATGATGCTGATGGGGGTAGTAACTTGGAGGACCTCTGGAGATTGGTGTGGAAGATGAACGGCCCACCCAAGCTCAAGCATTTCGTGTGGGGTGCTGTAAAGGGTAATCTTGCAGTCAAGGATAGATTGGTACAACGCTATGTGACAGGTGACGCCTCGTGCCAGATCTGTGGAAAGCCCAGGGAGACGATTATTCACTCCCTATTTAACTGTACTGGCCCAGGGAGACGATTATTCACTCCCTATTTAACTGTACTGCTGCCCTTGAGAAATGGGCTCACAGTGGTTTGGTGGACCAGCTGACAGATGCTCCAACTGACTCGTTCTCTGCTTGCAGGAGCTGGCTGCATAGTAAGGTGGATGGGCAGGTGCTGAAGCGTATGGCTGCGTTGATGTTGGCAGCCTGGAGATGCAAAATTCTGATAATATTTGATAATGAAACGCCTAATTTTGTTCTTCTCGCGGCTGGTTTTTGCAAATTGGTGAGTGATTATGATGATTATGCAAAAAGAGTTATTCTTCCTACAGTTCAACCGACTATAGGTAGCAGCATTACTTGGCTATGCCCGCCACAAGGTTGCCTTAAAGTGAACGTCGATGCAAATGTACCAGATGGTGGTCCTGCTGGGCTTGGAGTAGTGTTCAGAGACAATAGAGGCAGCCTTATTTTGACAGCAACTAAGAGAATAGAGTCTTCTGTTCTGGAATGCATTGAAGCACAGGCCGTGAGATATGCTCTCCTCCTTGCAAAGAGATTTGACTTCAGGAATGTGTGGGTGGAATCGGATGCAATTAATGTGATCAAAGCCATCTCTTCAAGTGTCTCGGATCTTTCCCCAATTCATGTTATTTATGATGATATTAGTTTAGATAGAGCTTGGTTTAATGTTTGTTTGTTTTCTCATGCGAAGAGAAGTTGTAATACTGTTGCACACTTAGTGGCGAGGTGTGATACGGGTGACAGTGTTGAACTTATTCGTCTTAGTTCCTTTCCCCAAAGCATTATTACTTTGGCGGAATTGGACCTCTCTTCGTGATTAATATATGCTCTATCTTTCTTTAAAAATAAATAAATAAAAATAAAATAAAAAAAACCTTACTCTAATGATTTATTTTAAGAGCAAACAGTCATGTGAAATTTTATTTAATTGTTTCAATGAATACTTTCTAAATATCAATTTTTGCATAATTTTACTTCAAGACAATTAAAAATATTGATGATTAAAGAAATGCATTAAGCATGCCTAAATGAAATAGAAACAGCAAGATGATCACCAAATCCTATACAAAACCCTAACATAAATACAACAACAAAAATCAAAATTCCTCGTAAAAATGATAGCAATTATGATAAATTAATCCACAAAGCCGATAGAAAAGCAAAACAAATTCACTGTTCAACACAATTCAACATGGAATTAAAAAATTAGAGTACAATCATCACCAAATTATCAGTAATTCAATCAATATTACCAACCAACATTATCAGTAATTTAACACGATTAAAAACCTAATTAACGAACAAAAAGGAAATTGAGTTAGTAAGTAAACTTACAATTGAAGAGCTTCTAGAAACTTATCGTGTTCTTGTTCAGTCCAGCTCTCTCTAGACTTAGTAATCGTATACGGCTTCCTCACTTTCTTAGAGTGATCCTCCGCCATCGGAACAGCAGAACCTCCGGAGACCGGAGAATTTACCGGCGGAATAGGGTTAACTCCGGGAAGAGGCATACCGGAATTCGTAAATTCTAGGTTAAATCCTTGCGATTGCGTTGGGTTTGGATTTACCGACACCATTTCAAAATTGAAATTCAATTAATTTGAAAAAGTGATTGAATTTACGAATGATTAATTGATTGATTGAAATTTGATTGTGTACAGTTTTTAAGGAAGTTGGTGAATTTTCTGGAAAATGGCAAAGTGAAGAGGTTCTTGTGGTCTATATATGGAAAGATGGGTCACCGGGTGATCTTATAACCGCCTTCTATTTTTGTATTTTTGGAAAAATAAATAAAAAAAAGAAACGATTGTCATTAAGTGTGTGGTGGAATTTGGAGGGTAGAATAGTCATTTTGACGTGTGTGGTGGTGGGGAATTGGTACTGAATAATGAATACTACAGCAACGTGCCATAGTGTGGGGTGGCTGCTGTAAAAATTAAGGGATGTGTTGTCGACTGTTTAGCTGACTATTCTGATTGCACGCCCCTTTTTTTGTTTCATGATTTATTATTAGATAATGGAGTGGTAGGAAAATAAACTCGGGCTCGTATTATGTATCCGGGTGTATCATACAATGACAGTAGACCCACACATGGTGATGGTATGCTTAGTGTCCGGAAACATGAGAGTGTTGGTGACTCGGTGAGTGAATATGAGCCGAGCCAAGCTGAGCCTCTTTGTTGGTTAGTCGAGCTCAAGTTTGATACTCGAAGCAAATAAGGTCAAATGGAATCTTCTTTGCAATCATATGAAGAAACTCTTTGTCATCGCCGTTCAACAATTGAGCCATAAAAAAAATTATGCTTGTAAAGGAAGTACGTGTATAAACGTAGAGCTAACTTGTTTACTACGGAGTATATGACATGCATAACTTGTTTACTACGGAGTATATGACATGCACAACATCACGTAGTAAAAGGAGGTGACACGTGACAATACGACTCATTAAGGGCGAATTGGCGATAAGATGTACAAAATGTTTCTCTTTTCCAATACAAAATTGGATCAACTCAATTTGATGGTTTTGCCGATCAGAGTGGATGTTCAACATAAACTCGAAAAAATCTCCAAGGCACAATACTAACACTTCTAACAGAAAAACACACTAAATACTGATGAGATACATAGTACTGAAAGATATACAAAGTTACAAGCCGTGTTGAATTTTAAGCAACCTAATACGAGTAATTTGAAAACCAATATTTCACCAGCTCTGTGAACCTAATCTAGCCAACGCAAAACTCCGTCTTCTCCTACAGAAGCCAGAACTTCAATTCGCACATCAAGAACACCCTGCAAACACCAGAAGATAAAATTGAAGCGACAAACTTTTTAAACAAAACGTAAAAACTTTCAGGATTGGGCCCTACAATTTAGAGTTTACAAAACAAAACTAGAACTTTACGTCGCACTATGCAATAAGCCTGGCAATTTGCAAAAGCATATGCTCCAGACTCTATTCAAGTTCTAGACTTTCTCTAACACATGCAACTTTTATTTTGAAAGTACGGAGAAAAACTTAGACCAAACCTCAACTTTAAGGTTTTTTTGTCCAATATTTGCGATCCTTGGGAATAAGGGGGGTTGGCAAGGAATCCATACCCCCAAATCCCCAAGTGCCCTTACTTGGCAAAATTCAAACCCCAGACCTTTGGGAAACAGCATGTAACTGATAGGAAAAGAAATACATGTAAATCTCGATGAGACGTTAGTATTTAACTGATATATGAAGTTCATAAAAAAGTTACCTGTGTATTTCTACAATTAACCAATCTACACTCCTCCAAAGGACCTTCTAGTGACCAACTCTCCCATACATCAAAGCTGTGACTGGCAAATACAAATTCCATCTTTCTATTTATCTGCACCATCAAAAGAACTTGATGAGCTACAGCTCGCATAAAAGAGCAATGAACATTAATCAAACACTAATTATACAAAAGAGCAATGAAGGTTTTATGAATTCCAATTAATCAGAAAACACATTGAATATAGATTGTGTAATGATCTGATACACCATATAGACATTTGGAAGTGAATCGGGTTAAGTTAAATAGTTAAGGGGTCAAAGGAAGACCAAATCTATAAACAAAATAAACACTACTTTTTTTTCTTTTTTTTTTTTTTTTTTTTTTACTTGCAACACTTTGAAATATGCACTATTCGTATACTCCACTTTGACTAGAATTGATGGTTTATACAAAGTAGTTAAAAAGGTATATAGTCATGTGGGATCTTGTTAGTTTCATCCCAATGAACTTCAACTAACAAGTACTATAATGTGATATTGACATCTACTACCTAGTGCCATGAATCTCTTAAAGCAAACTAAATTTACAATCTGTAATCTGTAGTATATTCACAGAATTTAACAATGTTGGCTTAATTACTGGTAGTCACCATTTTCTTCCCCCTTTCTTATCCATCTCATAATAACAGATAAACTAGCATAAATCTCTTGGAAGTAATAACATACCTGCAACAATTTCCCACCAGCTGCAAGAGATCGCAATCCAATTGTATCCTGGAAATTGCGACATGCAATATCATCAGACAAGAAAACAAGAGAAAAGGGGATGCACTTTTCAGGATTAATTAATCCAACAATGTACAACACATGAAGAAAGACTGCATGAACTGACCTTGCTTCCAAAAACAACAAGAAACTGAGCTGCAGGATCTCTTTTGGTAACACTATTCATTGTATCTAGGAACCAACCACCTCCCTTTACCCTTTGTCTTGAGACATGAAGCCCAGAGCGTTCCCTTGCTTGTAAGGCTATAACACAACCATCTTTAAGTAGCTCTGCAGATTTCCGACTAGTGCTCTTGCCTTCTTTCTGAAACATGTCCAATGATGGTTCTTGCACCAATTCTATCGATGTTTTCCTGCTTCTAGAGTCTTCCGGTGAAGCACACCTGGAACCATAGCTTTGAACCTGCTCAGTACCACTCATAGCAGCAGCATCTTCCTGCTGTGAAGTACTCTCTTTTTCTAAGATGTCCTCAGTTTTATGTTGGGACTTTTGGCGAGCATGTCTCTTTTTAGCCTTTTTGCTTGATCTACTACGCTTCGTTTCAGATTGAGCAGAGTTATTTGGAGACAAACCTGAAACCTGATGCTGGCTAGGAGAATCTAATTGAGCAGATGAAGATTTCCTATGGGAACTTTCTGGAGTCGCTAAGTTATCAATTGTCAGACGCTCAAGAACTGGACTCTGCGGCAGTCTTTCTCTGTCTTGTTTATCAGATTTCTCATTCTCAAAGGTTATTTCACTTTCCTCGTCCTCGTCATCAGAGACAGCATTACTTGGAACAACACCATCAAGGAAGTAAGTTTGCAATATAGAAATTGCCTTTTCTCTTATCTCCAACCATACTTCTTCACTGTAATCTGCACTTCGTGGTAGTACCAACACATTAGGCATCTCCCTGACCTGAAACATCATGTGCCAACTATATCAGAGGAAATGGTCATGTTAAAACAAAAAATGCACTCTCTCTGACTCAAAACATCACAATTAAATAGATAAAAGCACACTAGTTACTTTAAAACATGAGGGATAATGAGAAAATTATAAAAGTGCACACTCTCCTGCCATCAGCCACTGGAATATAGTGCTATACATGGCTAATTTCTTATCAGCATCACGTCTTTAAAAAGTTATAAATTTAATTGACTAGTTTTGTTAAGAGTTACAAATATGTATTCTTCCTTCAATCGGATAAAATCTAAAGGGAGGCAGCAAAAATTCGTGGGACACTGCATATGTAACTTCCCTAACAGCAATCAAATAGTCAACTAGATGGACACAAATAGTCAACTAGATGGACACAAATTGTAACAAAAGCTTTCCAAAATTGTAACTAGATGGACACAAATTGTAACAAAAGCTTTCCAAAATTGTGCATGAATGCAGGACTATAAGCTAAGGTTGACAAATCGACAGAAAAACACTGTGTCGCATGGCTCAGGGCCCATTAACTAAGAGGCCTCATGAAGTTTTAAGATCAAGAAAATACAACACTCAGCCTGACAACAACAGCAACTAAAGAAGCGCAGAGCACCTCTCAATCAAAATATATGCAAGAACAGATATCTCGATCCTATGCTGAAGAGGTATACCCACATTCAAAGATTAATATTTTTACAGAATAACAGTATCGTATATGCTTTAAGTACACAATTGCGATGCACATGCAATCCTTATAAAAATACTGTAAATGTAAAACCTGTATGGATGCACAAAACCAAGAAATATAGAAAATAACACAAATACATTGTGAACGTGCATTTCTGTTGTCATACTAGTGAACATACCCATGCTTCCATCCATTGTGGCCCTTCAGCACCATCCAGTGCACAGCCAGCAAGGACTCCATCGATCAACAGCTGCTTCACAGCACAATCATCCAAAAGCTGACTGCTTCCAGTGTTCACCAAATATGCACCTGAATAAAATGTTTATCAGCATTAAAAAGGAAAATAGGGTGAAAAGCACTAACTTGAAAAGAAAAAAAAAGTTGTAGCATTTAAATAATTAATATTACCGTGTTTGATATGCTGCAAGCATTCAGCATTAATAATTTGGACAGTCTCATCTGTCAAAGCACAATGGAGAGAGATCACATCACTTGCAGCCATTAAATCATTAAGTGTCTCCATTCTCCTGGCAGCAGGAGGGAATATAATCGACCTGCTTACTTGTGCCTGGCAGAAAAGAGTAAATATTATCAGGCGCTCAGCCGCTAATCAGTAAATAAAAATACATAATAAAATAAAAGAATTTCCAACCACAAAGCTGAAAAATAAGAATATTCAGAAAAATTGAAGCTCTAAGACCCTCAAAATTCCTTCATATTCATGTTACTGGTTGTCATTTAATACAAGGACAGCATATGTGAGCATGACATTCATCAAACCTAATCAATTTCAGGAGTATACACTATATACCTCTCACATATTGCAAAAAGAGAAGAAAAGACCTATAATCACAAGATTCATAACATGATCATATTGATACATATTGTATCCTTTTATGGAGGAGGAGGGAGGAGCTGAGATTGGGTATTAGAAGCTGAGTTATCAACCTCATGTCAATTTGTTATGCCAAGCCCAAGGCCTGACCTAAATTTCAAAAATCAGCATTGAATACAACCACAACTATGTCCCACACTCCCACCTGGCCAGCTTCCCATACATTTCATTCCCCCCAAACACCAAAATCCCAAATTATGTATCCAAGCCAAATTTTTGTGATCCTAGTAATCATCTTAACGCTTTTAAGTTCTATTTCTAAAGCCAAATGCAAATAAAGTGGTTTTAAATCAAATGAATCACTTCTCTCCCCCGCATCCTCTGATCATCATTTCGGACAATATACTCTCTTCAACAGCTAATGAAAAACCAATGAAGATAATATTTTTCTTTCCCTTTGAGAACCATCTTGCAAGAAGCATTCTAACAAACTGCATAATTAAGCTAAATTTTAGACATTTCAGCAAATCAATAAACACAATGTCACACTAATTAAACAATCAAAATCATTTTTTCATCTCCAAAACAAACCACTCTACCTAATTCCTTCATCAATTACATAAATTAACCACAACATTCATTCCACCAAACCAACTCCTGAAAAATAGACAAATCAACCCAATGTCACACAACAAGCAAGATCAAATCTTTCGCTCTCAAAATAAATCTCTAAGCAAGAAAACTCAACCACAATTGACATAATTACACAAAACAGTGAAACAACCTTACCTGGGAAACATCAAAATAAAGCACATTCATCTTAAACGACAAACTCCTGGTAGCCAAAGATGTAGCCGACGCAGATCTCCCGACAATCCCAAGCACTAACCCCCGACACCGTCGCATCCCCCGACAAAGCGGTTGCACAGAACCCAACCACCCTGACGAAGACAAAGAATGTCGCGACAACAGATGCGTCCGTCGCAAAAGCCCAAGAACAAGAGCCATAACAGTATCAGCGATCTCCTCCGACCGAGAAACATCGACGTGGACCAGTCGAAGTCCAAGATCGGCGGCTAAAGCAGAATCAACGGCGCGGTCGGATGAGCCGAGGCAGAGAACAAGCTGCCATGGACGAAGCCGGCGTTGGGCGGCGCGTGGGAGGAAAGCGAGGGAGTGGAGGAGAACAGCGGCGGCTGACTCGATTCTACCGTCGGCTAATCGGCTTAAGCCGACGTGTTCGATGGCGGCGACCCCGGCGAGGGAGTGTTGTTCTAAAGCGTTGTCTTCGATGCAGTTTAGGGTTACGACTAAGGGGATTGGTGATGTGGGCTTCTGGTGGTGGGCCGTTGATTTGGGCCCTTTGATCGACATTTTGTGGGCTGGGCTGGGCCGGAGGTGGTGGTGACGGTGGTTGTTGTGGTGGTGAAATGGGGGTGGTTTTTAGGGGTTCATTTTGAAATTGAAATGGGGTAACTAGGTAATGTTAAATGCAGTGAGTGTGTTTTCTCTCTCCTTTGTCGGATGATTTTTGAAAAATGGGGAAATTGAAGGAGAAGAAGAAGGGAGGGAAAGAAATTGAAAAGGGAACTCGCAAGTAAACTACTCCGTACAAATTACTGGTCGGAAAGTCTTCTTCTCCCACTTTTTTGTTGGTCTTTCATTTTTCAGATGTGTTATATTCAACCCACGTCCTTTTTCTTTTTCTGAGAAAATACGAGCTAAAATAGGGGCAAATTTGTAATTTCAATCATTATCTTCCTCCTTTTACCATTTTCACGTCAGCACATCACATATATAACAATTATCATTAAAGTTTGAGAGAGTTTTAATTACATAGTAATTTTTATATTGAAACTCATGCTTCGTATCTCATAACGAGCAAGAAAAATTTACACGCATATTGAAACGTATTATGGAGTATGTACAATTCTCTAGTAATTGTAGATTTGTAGATCGTAGGATTGCTACGACCCAAGGTAGATCCTTGTAATCGTATTACTTTGATGGTTCTCGACACATGAGGCCATGGCCTACACACTTCAGTCAAGGGATGAGAATACAATGTATATGAGTTGATTACGTTATGTGGATGCAAAAGAATATCTAGCATTATTGCTAGTACTTTGGCTTGATTTGCATAAATCAAAGCGTTATTATTTTAAATGCAATTTTTAGTAGTAAGTTTGATCATTCATTCATTCGTTTGGATACATTCCAACAATATATTCTACAATATAAGCTATAATGGTTAGAAATGTGATAAGTTTTAATATTTAATTCAACTAAGCTAGGATTAATACTAATAAGTTAAAACAATTCATGTTATGTTCAACAAAGTCTGTTATTCTCATGAATTGTGTGATAAGAAATCAGTTTTATTGATTAGGAGAAAGGGAAACAAACTTTGTTAAACTTCGTGTAATTAAACAATTAGATGGATAAACCGTTTCTCGACATATCTAATATTTTTATAATGGATGAAATAGTATTTTGTTAAGATTGTAGATTTTAATGGCAACCGTATATTGTGTTCTTATGCTTTGAAACTTTGTTTGTGCTAATTGGCATGTTTTGTGTGATGGTTTGATGGTTTTATTGAAAGACGAGGGTTACTTGTAGGATAATTATGTACAATCAAAAGGAATGGGTTTATGATTAGATAGATTATCATAGAATTCTACTCCCATTATTATCACACGTGATTCAATTTATGAGAAAATTAACAATATTATTAATTAATGATAAAAATAATTATGTTGAATTGTTGATATTGCAATTAGTGAATGGATGTTGCAAAAGCAAGTGAACGGAAAAGGTTAATTCTACCAAGCTATAGCTACCAACTAATCGTCTAATCCTACTCCCCTTCATTTTAGAATAAATCACAAAACATTACTATTGTTATAAAATAAGGAGAAAAATATGAGAGATGGAAAGAGAATAGATCAGCTTGTTATTCCATAGAGTACGGATATATATATATATACAATATAACTAGGGTTTGCTTAGATAACAATAAACCCTAGATCTAGAATATTCCGGAATGATACAAGGAGGATAATGGATATCCACAAATATTTCATAACACTCCCCCTTGGATGTCCATTATCGAAGAGTGTGCCTCGTTAAAACCTTATTAGGAAAAACCCTGTGGGATAAAAAAAAAGCCTAATGAAGGAAAAGGAGTACAACATTCTTCGTAATACGCTTGAGATGCCGCCTCATTAAAAACCTTACCAGGAAAACCCAATGTGGGACAAAACCATGGTCAAGGGAAAAAGAGTGCAGCGCGTATTTTCTCCCCCTGATGAATACATAACCTGAGATCTTCTAGTGCCGCAACAATGAATCCAATATGATTGGATATCTTCTAATATGTAGTCAAATATCATTCTTGGTCTTCGATCCTCCTAAACTGAAAGTGCATCTCCAAGTCTTCAAGTGAACATGTGCAGTGTCTTCATTTCACCATACATGTATTTATCTCTAAATCATTCCAAACTCAGTTTGAATAAAATTACTTTAAAAGTTAAACTTATGCGGTTAGGCCTTCTTCTGGAGGTCGTGAATAATAGAAATTGATGATCATTATTTGATCAAACATTCATTAATAATAATTTGATAACAAAACTTGATATTATTAATGTCGTTCTTCAATTTCATATGAATTGTAATATAACACATGTATTTAGATACGCTAATCATGGTTCTTCTGGACCATAAGAAAAAAAATCTCACGCATAAGTATTCCATTGATATCCCTAAATGTTTCATAATTGACACGATAGCTCTCTTGCAAATACAAAAGCAAATCTCACTAACTTACATATGCTCAAACTTCAGGTTGAGAAATCAATGATGTAGTCACATAGACTTTTCAAGAGTTTGATAATAATTGCAATATTCAAGATATAAAATTTGTAGCGCTATAAATACGTTGCATATAAGTTCTTCGGGAACTTCTCTTACATGATTCATAAATAATATTAGATCAACGTTATGTATAATTTCATCATAATTATAAGCCCGTTGGAATATAAATATGTCTTTCTAATTTTCCATCAAAGTTGTAAATATGCTTTACTATACTTTGAATGAACATGCACATACACCACAAATATTGTATAGAAACTAATGCATGCAATATGAGATATATAAAACATGATAACATATTAAGGAAAATATACAATAAATAATGCATCTAACAACTACTGACATATGCAATGAACAATCCGTTAACCTATGACTTATACATGCATATAAACATACATAGTACTCAAAATAATGCAAGACACTGTACATTACAATCCATATTTCATTGAACTTCTGGTCCATAATAAACTTTTGATCATTATATGTCAACATCAAAATGGACATATATTCCAGATCCCTTATTCACTAGTCCATTCTATCATGCATATGCATTATTTGTCGGTTCCATCATATACCGGTATCATCATATAATTCCTCAGGGTAAAGTTGTAATTTGCATGCTATTTCGACAATGATATCTGAATACATTTTTTATTGGTACCATCATTAATTTTTTTTTTCTCTTACATCATAGGCCATCTATTGTAATAATTCAGATATTTATACCACCTTTTGGTATTTATACACTATGGTATTTATATACTATTACACTATTAAAAGTGTTAACTGCACTATCTTGCCACATATCATATCTTTATTTTGGAACCGATCATACAACCCACACTTCAGGTGTAGTAATTCAAGTATAATTGGCAAGATTTTATCTCAATGTATACACATAATATGACCAAAAAGTATCTTCAACGCTATGCAACATGAGTCATAACTAAATACAAATCAAATCATAAATGTGCAACATATCTTGATAATATATAGACAAAAGTTGGCATATAACTTTTCAAACTACCTTTTATAGGGATCATCAATTATATTTTCCGATTTTTCCAACTTTTGCTATTTCTTCTCCCCCTAAGTTGGTAAAATATCTTATTTATAGGGGCGTCTAACACTAGGCGAAAAACCCCTATCCCCACCGGTTCAAACCACACATTCCCCACCGGTTTTGAACCGTTCTTGATTTGGGGGGTGCTAAATCCCCAAAGATTTCCCACCGGTTCAAAACTGGTGGCAAAAACCACTTTTCCCACCGGTTATGGAGTGAACCGGTGGCAAAAAGGGGTGATTTATCTTATAGCTGGAGGACTTTTCCCACCGGTTTTCAAGTGAACTGGTGGCAAAACTATAACATTTCCCACCGGTTTTCACACTGACCTGGTGGCAAAAGTGCCCCAAAAAATTAATTTTTTTTTTTTTTTTTTTTTGCATTTTTTTCACTTAAACTGTACCAAATACTTATATATAATCATAATATACATAAAACATATATATTTGCCTCAATAACTTGTAATATTACACTTTAAAAAACTAAAAAAAAAAAAAAAAGTTTCCAATAGCTATAGGCTGCCTGTTTTGCAATTCTGGCTGGTGCATTTTGCTCCTTGTTGTTGGTGCTGCCTACTGTTGAGTGTTACAGCCTATTAGTCTGCATGATGCATATGAAAGATATTAAATAATGCACGCCATTACAAAAACAAGTATATCCAGTGAAAAGTCGAGAGTCTATGGATTGGGACTCAAGAAGTCGAGAGTCTATAACTCTAAAAGCATCTCACATAATAATAATCAATGGAAAAAATATAACACTGCACTAGCACAAGTTATTCAGAGTCCAACTGAGAATTAATTATAACAATACTTTTCCTCATCATTTAGGTGTAACTGCTTGTATTACTTTGCATTTTTTTTGACCTAAGAGTTCATAACAATTGACAGATTAGAATGGAAATAAGTCACACACCAATGACAGATGCATATGGAGCAATTCTTTCATGGAAAATTGGAGAGTAATGCTGTGAGTAGTAGTTAGCCTGAATAGAAAAAAAATGCACAGACAAGCGAAAGAAATTTCCACTTCAAACACAGATTATATACCCAGTGAAAAGCTTATATTTTTCATCGTAAGCTAAAAATTGAAACAACGAACAACTAAGAGAAGATGAGGGACCAGGACACTTTGCCTACCTAAACACTCTCCACAGAGCATGCAGACGTGCCATTATTGTTAATTAACATAGTATGTGCAGACAACCAGTTTATTCTCAGTATAATGTTATTATAATCATTTCAGGTCCAGTTGCGGTAAAGATTTTAGGCAGACATCCCAAACTGCTTACTGTCATTCTTTGACTTTTTTATTTCATAATAAGGTGTAATGTTTGACACATGAGCAGCCAACAACAGAGTACACAAATAAAAGGGCAAGGTGTCCTCAGAACACACATATCACACAAGTTAGCCCAATTCCTTTGAATTCTCCTTCAAGTTAACTATTACCCAAAGTTACTACCATCAGCAATCGTTATTCATTACACTGCAAACATATAGAAGTATCAATTATATAAACTAGTTCATTCAAAAACTCTAAGCAACCTGGGTAACTTTTACAAGTTAAATCATCCCTTACTTCAGGGTACTTTGCAGGAAAGCAGAAGCATGCTACAAAGACAGGTTACTTCAGGTTTCACTTGAGAATGCTTATTCACATGATTAGGTGTTCATAAATGAAATCATCAATCAAATATAAACCATGATAGTAGACTTGATGCCGAACTGCAATCAAAAGTCCTAGTAGAAATAAATAAAATCTAAGACTAGGACAAACTAACTAACATCCGAAATCATGGCTTAAGAACACTAATCTCCTATAGAAACTTGTACCTTAATCAGTGAAGATACTCCGGGGCTAAGTGC